GTCTATAGGATCACAAAGAGTCGGACATGACTGAACACGCAGGCACAGATCTCTTATAAGTGAAGCTTCCCAGCTGTCCCCTTCTGCTGCCTCACAGAGAGAATTTTGACTCTGTTGCTACTGGTACTTTTGAGCTTTTGTGATGGGAGGACAGGGAAGGGGACAAGGACTAGAATCCTGCACGTTCAGCCCAACAGAAACATTTTTTAAAATGGAATTTTAAGCAGGAAATTTGTGGGCTGCTTTGTGTAAAGACAATGACTAGGAGGAAAAAAATGGATTTGAGAAGTGTTGCAGTGGACCATATGAGCCCTCTGCCTAATATCAAGTCCACCTAATTTGGAATTACTTTAGGATCCTCCTCTGGCCATTGAACACATCTCTGCCCCATGATTCTAACTTGTGAGTCTGGCCTTATTTGCCTGGCTCTAGGTTGGATGGACCATGAATCCGACCAGCTTTAGGCCCAGCGTGAGCTTTTTGGTGCTTGATTTGATATGTAGTATGTAGGAGAAGTGACTGGGAATGGGGAGGTTACTGATAATGACCTTCCAGGAAGAGTAAGAATGTCCCTGCTCAGGAAAAAGGAAGAAGTTCCTAAAGAACAACACAAAAGGCATTGGAGCTTATTCCCAGCAGTTTCTGGCTGTGCCCAATATGCCCACCTTCCCAAGTACCAAAGAAGGAAGGAACAGGCTGGCTTTCTCCTGGAAACTGAACTGCATCACCTTGAGAATCTATGTGGTCTTGAGTTTTACCGTCATAGTAAGATCTTCAGTACCATCCCAGAGGAAGTACAGTATTCTTTGGAGGTAGGCTGGAAAGGTAGGCACACGCCTTGTCTCACCCATCCCAGTGGGCATGGAGGTGGAAGGAAGGTACTAGCAAGAGCATCCATGGCACTGACAGGAGGACTGTGAGTCAGAACAAAGCTAGTCTTACCTGAGGAGGTCTGGAGGTTGGTTCCTCCCTACTTAGGCAGAGAGGTTGAGGAATGACTCACAGGAAGCTTTAATCTGTGTCTCTTAGCTTTCTAGGACAATTAAGGACTTGCGGTTCAAAATGGCAGCTCCCGTTGTTTTGAGCCTTTGTGGCTGGGGCTCCCTCCCTTGCAAGGTGCTGGTGATGGGTCTCTATGGTGTGTTGTTCTGCTTCCTCCTCCACCCTCAAATCCTTTCTCCCCTTGATGCCTCAGGTGAAGCGCAGGTTGCAGAGCCTGGAGCATTTGTGTTGTGCCTGGGTGATGATTCTCAGCCCAACAGGTCCTTGTGGGAGACGGCTGTGTCTGCTATTGTAATGATGCCATAGGCAATATGATGGGTCAGTCATTTTATCATATGCCTACATAGGTGTCTCTTCCACCACCTTCTTCCCATCCTCAGAGCTGTGCAGTGTAAACACCCCCCAACGACCAGAACAGTATGAAGCCGTATGGAATATTGTGCCAGGGGTATATGAGATGGGCAGAGGTACGGAGGATTCTCTGGAAGGCCTTGATAGATAGACCTTAAAGGAGTGGGATTCAGGGAGAATCAGTAAAAGGGTGGGGGGTGTGTGTGCGTGCACACTAAGTTGCTTCAGTCGTGTCCAACTCTTTGCAGCCCCATGGTCTGTAGCCCGCCAGGCTCCTCTGTCCATGGGATTCTCCAGGCAAGAATACTGGAATGGGGTTGCCATGCCCTCCTCCAGGGGATCTTCCCAACCCAGGGATCAAACTGGTGCGTCTCTTATGTCTCCTGCATTGGCAGACAGGTTCTTTACCACTAGCGCCGCCTGGGGAGCCCAAAAGGGTGGTAGGCCACAGCAATGGCTTTATAGGGAAGGGAGCTCGCCCCTGCTCAGATAAGGCCTGGTGTTTGTCGATGCCATGTCCCTGTTACCTGGCTTCTTCAGGAAATTCCCAGACCTGGCCTACTGAACAGGAAAGCCAGGCTGTCTATGGTAAGGAACTGAGTCTTCCCTACACAAACAGCTTCTGTCTCTGCATGGCCAAAGAGCAGAGTGTGGTACAGTATTAGAGGCTCTGAGTCAGGCAGACCTGACTTTGGGCAAGGTCCTCAGTCTCTGAGCTCATTTCCTCTTCTGTCAAATGGGGATAATCCTAGTTTTAACTCACAGCACCAGAATGAGCATTAAGTGAAATTCTGTACATCAGCCCTTAGCACAGTGCCTGGTGCAAAGTAAATGCTCAATAAAAGGGAACTTTTTCTTGAAATTGTGTTTCCAAGAGCAGCTGCTTCTCTGGTGGCAGCAGATCTGAGAATAGACCCACAAGTATGTCACCAGCTGCTTCCATGCCTGTTGCCTCAGAGCAAACCACCCCAAACAAGAGCCATTTCATTATACTCACGGAGATTTGGGGTCAGGAAAGGAGCGCTCAGTAGGAATGGCTTGTTCTGCCTCTCGGTGTCTGGAGCCTCCGCTGGGAAGATTTGAAGGCTCAGAGTGAGGCCGCAGATGAAGGCAGGAATCGTCTGGAAGGCTTGTTTGTGTCTGTATCTGGTGCCTGGGCTGGGAGGTCTGGAAGGCTAGGATGGCTGGTGAGGTTGCCAGTGTATTGCTCCTCCAGGAGTGTGGTGTCTCAGGGCTCTCAGCCTTCTTACGTGGCAGCTCAAGACTTCAAGCACAGGTGCTCCAGGGACCAAGCTGAGTCATCCTGTCTGGTCTGGCTTGGAAGTCACACAATGTCACTTCCTCTGCTTCCTGGAAGTGGAAGTGAGTCTCGGGCCCACCCAGGTTCACAGACAGGCCACCTAGACACATCTTTCAGTGGGAGGGGTGTTGGGCCTCATTGGAGGAAGCATTTAAGGTGAGAGGTGTTATGCCATTTGGAAAATCAACCTGCCATGCCTGCCCCTGGGAACTCTGATGGCAGAGCTGGGGATACAGGTTTTAGGGAGTCAGTCATGCAGCAGCCCCCTACACCCACATGCCAAGAAAGAAGAATGACTCTTTGTTGACAAAATCATCGAGTCTGACGTGCTGACTCTTTTTTTGATTGTTTTTATCTAGTTTGTAGCTGGGTGCTTCCCAGGCATGGCAGAGATCTGGCAACTGTCCTCAGTCACTTTGAGCCGGGTGGTAGGGATATTCAGGGCAGGCGGGTGTTGGAGATGATTTTAATAAGGAAAGTGGCTGCGTAGGGCTCTGTCTCTGGCCTTCTGTCTCCTGCTGCTGCCATCTGTGTCTGGAAGAGCTCAGGGCTGGAGTCCCAGCTGTGTTATCTGAGCTTAATTTGCACAAGGTGGCAGTGGTTATAGGTGCCCAGGTAGATCTTAGATTTTGGGGGCTATAGGTGCCCAAAAGATCTGACTTTTGAAATAGTCATATTTTAGAATGTTGGTGAGCAAGGCATCCAACAAACACATTCTGGCGACTCTGGTCAGGGAGGTAGGTGATACCAGTTTTTCTGTTTTAATCACAGGAAGCTTGGCTATAAGAAAACTTTTCCTCAGCAGCATGAGTGAGGTAAGACAGGGGTACGACCTCCAAAGAAGAAATGAAAGGGAAGTTTCTGGGAAAAACTGGGGCTAGTCAAGGGGTCACTGAAAAATAGCTTGAAACAGGTTGATGAATTGCTGTGCCTCCTGGAGCCACTGTCTGTCTCTAAATAAGAGTAATTACCTACCACATCCCTCTCTATCTTCCGGCCCCAAAAGGCAGCAGAAGGCCACCCTTCCTGCTGCTGAATCATGTGGCAAGCACAGATGTGGGCACATTATGAAGAAGCCTGGAGCTTCGAGCTGTTTCTCAAGTGCTGGTCCACATGTGTACATGTGATTCTCCCTTGCTCCCCGTGGCCTGTCGTCACAACATGGCCTGCCAGTCAGGAGTGTCCTGGAACCCTGGACACTCTTGGGGTGTGCACCAAGGCCTCTGTGTCACAGTCCCGTTAGCTATCGTAAGGCCCAGGTGCCTGACTGAGGACTGGCTCTCCAGGACAACACCCTAGCCAGCCGAGGGAAGCTCATCTGTCAAATCCATCCCCTCTGGCCTGATTCTTAGCCCTGGCCGTTCCCTGAGCTCTTGGTTGCACACCCTTGGCTAACACTGTGAAGCGAAGGGCCCTGGCATCTGGGGCTGGCCCACTGTGCCAGACCAGTGCGGCACGGAACTCTTCTGGCAAGTAATGTCTGGTCTTAGCGTGTCTGGACTGTGGAGTGGCGTGTGGTCCAGACGGGGACAGTTAGTAAGGTGTGAGTTGGTGGTTACAACTGAAAGCAAAGGAGCCGTGTTCCTTGGTGCTTGTGAAGAGGCTGGAGGGAGATGGGCAGCTTTGGTCCCTGCTGGAAGGAAAGAACGGGTGGGCAGATGTTGGCACAGAGGTAGGGGAGTGGGGCATCTAAAAGCCCCCCTGTACTCACTGAATGCTGGTACCTTCCTATGAGACTGATGACATACAGGTTCCCTGCTTGAGCAAGCGGGTCATGCAAAGCCAGAGGATTTTCCTAGGACTTGCTGGCCACTCCATCCCCCTTTAGTGTAATTAATGACTCTGCCTCTTCTCCCATCATCCCTACCCCCAGTACCTAGTTCATTCTTCATCACCTTCCCTGAACAGTTAGTAGGTTACTTCTTGTGTCCTTGCTGCCAGCCTCTTGCTTTTTCAATTCCATTTGTCTCACTGCAGCCTTGGTTGTTTGACTAAAACACAAATCTGCTCATGCTGCTTCCCTGCTTAAAAACTGCCTGTGACTCCAGGATAGAGCCCAGCCCCTCCATGTGGCCTGCATCTTCCGGTCCCGCCCCAGCCCGATGCTCCAGCTCCATCGTTTCCTTTTTTCCCTCATGAAGGTTCTGCTCCAGCTACAAGGGACTCTTTCCTGTTTCTTCCCCCTCTCTGGCTTGGAATTGCATTACTCCCCCTCCGTAGAGTGGCCTTCTGATGCTCTCCCATGGACTAAGCCCTGACCCTCCTTTACAGTTGTAAGAGGAGATGTAAATTTTGTGACCTTCTTCCGAGGAGTTTCTTCCTTTGCCTGTTATTCCACAGGAGGTGCTCAAATGAGATAGGGCAGAATCAGATTCTCATCAAGCACATGGCAGCTGAAGCCACTCATCCAGCTTTGCCACTTCCTGGCTGCGTGACTTTGAGGTAGATCCTCACTTGATTCAGCCACAGTTTCTTCATCTGTAAATAGAGATGAGAACACTGCCCATCTCTTGAGGTTTTGAAAAAGAGATAGTGCTTGTGAAATGCTTAGCACAGTGCCTGGCATGTAGGAAGTGCTCCATAAATATATAAATCCAGTAATGATGATGAAAGTGGCTATAGGTGTAACTTTGTGGCCAGCACGCATGGGCATAGAAATGTGAGAATGAAGGAAGTGCCATCCTATGTTCCTTGATAAGATCATCTCTTCGTCCCATTCTGTCCCTCTCCCTTGCCTGTCTAGGTGCCAGCTGACTTTTTCCAGTAACCGAAGCAGTTGCCATCTTTTACTGGCCAACCCAGTGGATTTGCACACAGGAATGTTTAGTGGGGATGAGTCTTGATCTCTTGGAGTAACAGCCTGGATATTTTCTCAGTTCTCATTGTGATCCTGGGTATAGGTTGTGTTTTAGAGCCTAGTTAACCAAATCACTTTCCATCCATGTTGGCTCCTTCCTGGAGAGGAGGGTGGATGCTCTAGTTAGTCAGGGTGGGGCTCTAAAGTCTGTGGACTGAGCCCAGCATCTCAAGAGTTGACTAGTTGGGGCATGTTGTTCTCTGGTGAGGGGCTGCTCCTTGTGCTTCAGAATTCCATCCAGGGTACCCTGACCATTATAGCACCAGGCTGGTCTGATAGGAGTCTTTCTGAGCCCTGGAATGTGATGGAGCAAGGAGAATCTTCCTGTTTAAAATAACCTTTCCCTCCATTTTTGAACATGATGAATTGTCCTTCCTGGGGTGGATGAGCCGTGAGTAACTTTTCCTTATTGGTGGACCCCAGGTGCAGAGTTTCAGAATTGATGCTTATTCTTTGCCTTTCTGATATATGAACCTCAGCCTTTCCTACCACTCTCTGGGGGGTGCTTCTGCTGATCTGGAGGTGAATCACTGGGTCGGGTACACATTTTGGAAAAGGAAAAAGAGATGTGGATGGTGGCTTGGTATGGGTGGGGGCAGGAACTGAAGACTTGCCTGTGAAAGGGTTAATGACACTTACCCTGGGCCAAGCACCAGGACCTAGAGTCAGGCGGACAGCTGGATGAGTCAGTCAGAGGCATTTCATAGTTCTTACAGCCTCATGGCTGAAGGGCCCCTGGGAGAGGATTCTGTAAATTGAAATGGAGATCTTGGATCAAGCGCATTTTGTTTTGGGCTCCAATGAACAGCCATATTGATCCCTCTGCTATGCTCAGCACCTGTCTCACCTGTTTCGAGGATGCTGGTCTAGGGGTGATAGTGGAAGTTTAAGAGCCTAGGGTTTCTCTGCTTTATGACTTCTTATCCTCATACTTTTGAACATTTCGTTTTCTCTCCCCAGCTCTCCACTGACCTTACTGATGGTTTGCCTAGCTGTGCCATCTAGAGGGCTGTGACTGAGAGATTGTCGGTGGTATTGAGTTAGCAGGATTGGCTTGTATGACTCAAAACAAATCTCACAGCTTCTGAAGCGATATCAGACCTGGTGCAGGAGGGTTACTTGTCCTGCCCATGAGACCTTCGTCCCAACCCTCAAGCTAACATGCTAGCCATGGTGCTTCTAGCACACCTGTGCCCTGAATTAGGGCTGGTGAGAAGCTGCCCCCCAGCAAGCCTTTTGCCACCTCACCTTGTCAAAGCTGTCCTAGTTTAAGTAGCTTCTAGCTCCCCAAATATGTACAGACTTCACTTCTAAAGCCCTCCCATTTACATATAAAGGGCAGGGTCCCTTCTCTAGCAGCATCTAGAGCAATGTTCAAATGGTTTAGCTTTAGAGATTCCCCACTTGTCCCCCAGGTTCTAGTGGAAAGGACAGTGGACTCAGAATTACATTTGACTCCTAGTTTCTGGGGCTTCTCTGCCAGCTTGCTTCCACTCTGAACACAATTATCCTTCCTTGTCCCTTTCAGTGAGAAGTAAGCTTCAACTTGACAGAGAAAACCACCCTTAGCAGTGGCTCTGTCCATATAGGACATAGGATTAGGTGAGCAGTCTTCCCAATTAATTTATGATCTGAGGCTGCCCCAAGACACATCAAATGCAGATGTGGTTCGTACACTGGTGTACGAGAGACCAGCATTATAGAGATGCAAGGGCTTGTAGAGATGGATCTGTTGAACATCAGAACCCCAGAGGGGAGGGGCAGTGTGGTATAGGGGAAAGAGCATGGGCACAGAAGCCAATGCAGGGTTCACGTCCTGCCTGTCTCTCTCTGCCTAGATGTGGGAAGGTTACTTAACTTTTGAGCCCAGCTTTCCAATCTTTGAAATAAGGTTGTCAGCCCCCTTGTAGCGTTGTCATGAGGACTGAATGAGGTGATGTATGTGAAGTTCTTGTATTGTACCTAGGACAATAGCAGGTATGCAAGAAATGGTAGCTGTTAGTATTACTAAATGACCTAATCTTTAAAAATTTAAATGAAAACTATGTGCTTATTTTAGATGATTTCAACAATATAGATGAACATAGAGAAAAGCCTGTCATGCCAAGTCCCAGTCCATAGCATTCAGGTCTTTTTCTATGTGATAGATAAATAGCATATTTGTAACAGAAAGGACTGATCAAATTATGTATTTTTGTATACTAATATTTTCTTAGTATATGGTCGCATATATTATTAAATTGCCTTCTACATATCTTTTGAATATCTGAGTTATTTCAAATTCTAACAGATGATACTGTTAAAGTGCTGCATTCAATATACCAGCAAATTTGGAAAATTTAGCAGTGGCCACGGGACTGGAAAAGGTTGGTTTTCATTCCAATCTCAAAGAAGGGCAATACCAAAGAATGTTGAAACAGCTGCACAGTTGTGTTCATTTCACATGCTAGCAAGGTAATGCTCAAAATCCTTCAAGCTAGGCTTCAACAATATGTGAACCTAGAGCTTCCAGATGTACAAGCTGGATTTAGAAAAGCCAGAGGAACCAGAGATCAAATTGCCAGCATCCCTTGGATTGTAGAAAAAGTAAGGGACTTCCAGAAAAACATGTACTTCTGCTTCATTGACTATGCTAAAGGATTTGACTGTGTGGATCACAACAAACTGTGGAAAATTCTTAAAGAGAATAAGAATTCTCTTTAAGAATGGGAATATCAGACCACCTGACCTGCCTCCTGAGAAACCTGTATGCAGGTCAAGAAGCAACAGTTAGAACCAGACATGGAACAATAGACTGGTTCCAAAGTGGGAAAGGACTACGCCAAGGCTGTATATTGTCACCCTGCTTATTCAACTTATATGTATAATATATCATGTGAAGTGCTGGGCTGGATGAATCACAAGCTGGAATCAAGATTGCCAAGAGAAATGTCAATAACGTCATACATGCAGATGAAACCACCCTAATGGCAGAAAGTGAAGAGCAACTAAAGAGCCTCTTGATGAAGGTGAAAGAGGAGAGTGAAAAAGCTGGCTTGAAACTCAGCTTTCAAAAAACTAAGATCTTGGCATCCAGTCCCATTCAGTGTAGTTGCTCAGTCATGTCCGACTCTTCTCGACCCCATGGACCACAACACACCAGGCCTACCTGTCCATCACCAACTCCCGGAATTAACTCAAACTCATCTCCATTGAGTCGGTGATGCCATCCAACCATCTCATCCTCTGTCATCCCCTTCTCCTCCTGCCTTCAACCTTTCCCAGAATCAGGGTCTTTTCAAATGAGTCAGCTCTTCGCATCAGGTGGCCAAAGTATTGGGAGCTTCAGCTTCAACACATCAGTCATTCCAGGGAACACTCAGGACTGATTTCCTTGAGGATGGACTGGTTGGATCTTCTTGCAGTCCCATTACTTCATGGCAAATAGATGGGGAAACAATGGAAAAGGTGACAGACTTTATTTTCTTGGGCTCCAAAATCACTGCAAACAGTGACTGCAGCCATGAGATTAAAAGATGCTTGCTCCTTAGAAGAAAAGCATGACAAACCTAGACAGTGTTTTAAAAAGCAGAAGCATCACTTTTCTGACAAAGGTCCATATAGTCAAAGCTATGGTTTTTCCAGTAGTCATGTACGGATGTGAAGAGTTGGGCCATTAAGAAGGCTAAGCGCTAAAGAATTGATGCTTTCAAACTGTCGTGCTGGAGAAGAGTCTTGAGAGTCCCTTGGACTGTAAGGAGATCAAATCAGTCAATCTTAAAGGAAATCAACCCTGAATATTCACTGGAAGGACTGATGCTGAAACTGAAGCTCCAGTACATTGGCTACTGGATGTGAGGAGCTGACTCATTGGAAAAGACCATGATGTTGGGAAAGATTAAGGTGAGAAGGAGAACGGGGCAACAGAAGATGAGATGGCTGGGTGGCATCACTGACTCAATGGACATGAGTTTAAGCAAACTCCAGGAGAGAGTGAAGGACAGGGAAGCCTGATGTGCTGCCATTCAAGGGGTTGCAAAGAGTTACATGCAACTGAGCAACTAAACAGCAACAATATATACGTATTTTTAAAGTAACGCATGTGTATTTTCTCGTCTGACAAACCAAATTATATCACAAGGCTCATAATAAAAAATAAAGCTCTCCTGCTCTTGCCTTTCTTACTCCCTGAATCTCCATCCCGGCTAGTGATCTTCTTGAGGGGAGGTACTGGTTTTATTTATATTTGAACACTCTGTACTTAGCACAATGCATATGGGCCCTCTATACGTGTGGGCTTTTGGGGGGGGGGCAGGATTTAAGTCAACACTTATTATAGAACATGACATTCTACTAAAAAAAAAATATGCAGCTGAAACACGTTTCAAATTGAATCATTTTATAGCAGTTTGGAGAGGCTGTCCAAATCTTTGGCTATATCATATGGAGATTTTATTGCCTGGAATGTGGCTTTTGGTTTAGATTTTCAGTTTTAACATATCTATTTCTATTTTGCTATAAAGAGATTTTATAGTAGTGAAATTGAACTTTGTATTAGTTAGATTAGGTTAGCTATGAGAAACAGACACCCAAAGTAACAGTAGCTGAGATAAATCTGTTTCTCTTGTATGCAAAGGTCTTAACAGGAGACCATCCACGGCTGGCACAGCATCTCTGTTCCATGAGCCCTAGACTCCTTCGCATCCATACCTCTGCCAGCCTTGGGGCATGATCTTCTCCTCCTAGTCCAAGATGGTAGCTCGATCTCCAGCTATCACATTCATGTTCCAGGCAGCACAGGGTAGGAAGGGATGAAAAAAGGGCCAAAAGCCCTGAGCTGATGTCCTTTATGACAGGTTACAGAAAGCAGTCACATGATACTTCTTAGGCAGCTGGCTGTACCTTGGAACAAGGTGCCTAGGAAATGTTAATGTTATCCGTGGCCAGGTGCCCATCTTGAAATGGAGGGTTCTGTTACTATGGGAGGAGGGGAGCATAACCACTGCAGGGCGACTGGCAGTCTGGGTCACACATTTTAAGCTTTTTTCCTACCATTAATCCCTTGTTAGTCCTTTCATGATACGTTGCCAGGATTGCTAATGTGGCAGTTCGTTTCTGCTGTGTTTTCACTTTGTTTTCTTTCTCACAAATGCTGCTGAGTCTGTCCTTCTCTTTTAACCCTTCCTTGGAGGTACTCACCCATCCATCCCTCTGGAGTCGGAGGCTTTGGGACACCTGTTTCTTGGATGGGAGATGATGGCAGACAAGTGGACCCTTCCCCCAGGGGCAGTAACCAGCTGTTTTTTTTGCAGAATGGGCTTCCGGTGGCAGCCTGGCCGTCAGCGATTCCCCAATGGTAGGCTGCAGACCCTGGGGGAGGGGGTTACTGCCTGGTGCCTTTGAATCTAAACACACTGTAGAAAGTGAGTATTCATATTTCTGTTTTTAAAAGGTGTATAGGTGCTACTGTGTTGATAAAATACAAACTCATTTAAAAACACGTTTCTCCAGGGTGTTTAATATAGCCTGGTAGTCTGGGACTCTCCTTATTCAGACCTGGGTTATGTCCTGTCCCTACCTCTTGCCACCTGTGGACCAGCCTCTCTTCATTTCACTCTCCATATCTGCAGTGCCTTCCAGAATGGTTGAGACAATTAAATAAGATTATGCACATGAATGACTTAGTGCCCTGCGCACACAAAGGCTCCCATGAACATGAGCTCTGGTTAATGTTTTCTTCTTAATCAACACACACTGTAAGTACAGCTGCCATCATAATAGCATTTTTTGAAAGCCGAAAGGACATATTTTTAAAGATCAGGAAAAATTGCTTAGCCTCTGGTGAATCCAGTGTAACCAGTCCTAAAAACACATATTTGGGGCCACTGCCTTAACTGACTTAATTAGAAACCTTTGGGGATAGTTTGTATTCATTCATTCGTTCAGGACCATTATTCACTGAACACCTAAAAGACCTCTTCAGGTTACAGAAGGGAGGCCATTACAGTTCAGATTTGCCCTGGCTCTAGGACAGAGTCCCTCCTTGTACCGAGTTCTCTGGCTTTGCCAGGAGTGCACTGCACATGCCCTTTCACTTTGGTTTCCTCTTCTGTACCAAGAACTAGTGGATCCTAAATCCCCAAGCACCCGATTTGCTCCATCTTTCTGTAATTCTCCCGAAAGGGCTTTCTGGCTGCCTGTGCCGGGTGTTTGCCGGGAAGCCCTGTTGTTTTGCTGGCTGTGCCCGCGGACCTCGGCGCAGCTCTGCTGACAGGGCTGAACCCGGCTGGGGCCGCAGCGGCCGCCGGCATCTCCCTGCCATCTCCCGGCAACGCCACCCCTCTCCCGAGGCGGAGAGTCAGGGAGTCTAGGCGGTGAATCATTGGCCGCGGTGAGCAGGTCCGTCCGGCCTCTCTCGGCCTCACCCAGGGGGACAGAGTGGGCCGAGGGCCAGGGCGCAGGAGAGGCCGGGGCTTGGGTGCTGGCCATGCTCTCAATGAAGTGAGGCTCTTCCATGTGGCTCCGGCTGATTCAGCCCCACAGCGAGCCTGCCGTGGGGTTTTACTGCCGGTTCCCTGGGCTGCTGGGTGGGGCTGAACCCGAGGTCTTCTTTCC